GAAGTGTATTTAATTATAACCAGGAACTTCTTTTTCTGCTAATGGTTTTGCTAAGTAGTTCCCGCGGAAGGAGATTAGATCTCTTACCTCATCATAGTAGGGACATTGTTGATGTTTCATCTTTTAAAAAAATATATCCTTTTTTAATCAAACGTTATCACACTTTAATTTATGCTAGTGTTTTAATAAATTATTTTATATTGAAGGTAAACAGCTGGTTACATCTTCTAGAATGGTTTTATTTTTGTTGAATTTAGCGCAAAGCTATTAGAAAGCTATCTGCGGTAGCCGTCCCTCATTTTAAAGTAATAGACTAGAGGGAAGACAACATCACCCACAGCTAATCTTTACTGACAAATAGTGAGATTTACTGTCACGTTATAACACCCCATGGCTGAAAGGGCGAACATGTTCGGTGACTGGTTTCGATCCCACAACTCTCAGATTCCAAGTCTTCCAGAATTGCCGCGAGAGTTCGTTTTATCATATTACAAGCTCTTTGATTTTCAATTACAAAAATACAGTAAAGATACTGACAATGTAAAGAAATATATTTCTCTAATAATAACATATTTATTTATTCTTTAGTTTACACGTACGAAAAATATATACTCCATTGAAACTGCTCTTAACGGTTGCAACTTTATGACATTCAGAGAAACTGTAGTTGATGCGAAGTATAAAACACAGTAAGCATATATTGTTTGTAATCTTTCATCTATGATCTGAAATTTCACAGAAAATATATCATTTTATTTCATTACAGCACAACACACACACACAACCAATTAATTATATACATACCTTGTCTCATTCTCAATGGCAGAACGAGCGCCATCTACTGATACATAAATTTAAAATATTTTCCCTGTTGCTTTTATAAATGAAATATTTTTCATTGTTAATATTTTCTGGACTGATAAGCATTTCTATTTTTTTTCCTATTTTCTATTTTTTCATAAAGATTCTGCCAAAATTTCATGTACGTGCCACCAATAATTCAAGAAAAAGTTAGACTTCTTTCAATAAAAATTGCCAAACTTTTAGGCACACGAGGGTAATGTTTCAGTCAGAAAGATGCGATTAACTTGAAGTATAAATGACGCAATTTTTGCTTGTAAGTCCATACTAATATTTTATAAGGTAGAAAGAAAAAAGTAAGCATTTTATGAGAAAGATATCATTGGTGCAAAGTGAACATATCAGACAAGTAAGCTTAAACTTCACGGGAATATTACTGTTTTCAAGAAATGATATAAGCATTTAACGAATATTATTCTGGTGTTAAGACTATAAAAAATTCAAGGAAAGACTTGTCTTTTCAGGTAATTAAACATAAAAAGAAACTCAGACGTTCTGAAGAAATGACTATGGCTCTGCAACATAACGGATTTAAATTATCAGAGAAGAAAAAGGGTATCTCAAACGTTCTGAGGAGATAAGTATGAGAATGCAACATGATGGTTTTAAATTATCAGAGAAGAAAAAGGGTAACTCAAACGTTCTGAGGAGATAAGTATGAGAATGCAACATGATGGTTTTAAATTATCAGAGAGGAAAAAGGGTAACTCAAACGTTCTGAGGAGATAAGTATGAGAATGCAACATGATGGTTTTAAATTATCAGAGAGGAAAAAGGGTAACTCAAACGTTCTGAGGAGATAAGTATGAGAATGCAGTATGGTAGCTTTAAATAATCATTGAAATGATGCCAAAGTTGAAAAGGAATAATGCTAAAGTTTCAGGGAGACGAAACTAACGAATGTAATCAAAGCACCTACACTTCCAGTATACATCTTCCCTCGAGTAATTAATCTCTTCTCATCCTTTCATTACCAGTTTTACTTCTACACAATACATACATCACCTACGTTGAAAAGGAATAATGCTAAAGTTTCAGGGAGACGAAACTAACGAATGTAATCAAAGCACCCACACTTCCTGTATACATCTTCCCTCGGGTAATTAATCTCTTCTCATCCTTTCATTACCAGTTTTACTTCTACAGAATACATACATCACCTACATCTATGTCTATATATACATCATTCTAAAGTAATTTGTAAGCTGCTAAGAAAATATTCCACTTAAAGTAGATTCTCTTGCAAATGCAAATGTCTAATTAAGTAATTATAACAAGCTTAAAAGGCATTCAACTACAGTCGTATAAAATAATTATCCAAAGTCATATGTTATTGCTTGGAAATTAGGGTTACGAAGCTTGATTCCTAATGATAAAACATAAACATACACACAAGAACTGGTTATCTGATTTTCTCATTTTAAAAACACATGAAAATATCACTGAAAAATAAATATCTATATAACAAACACTTTTCACCAAGCTGAAACGGGTTACAGTTAGTACGTGAAGCTTTATATATATATATATATATTACTGGCCAAATACTGAGGGTTACTCCACAATATAATAGGATATTACTGTCTTGTGCAAACAAATGCCTTGATAGATACTTTTTAGTATAGGTAAACAGTTAATGCTTATAGGTACTGACTTGATCCTATTTGCTACCTAAATTATATAAAATGATGCTTCTGTAGAAACAGAACTAACAAAATAAAGTTGAGCTAAAGACATCAGAAATACCAATACAAATATCTGACTTGTCATACGGACGTGAAGATACACATTATTATGAAGTTAAAATTTACAACCACGAGCACTTTACTATACAAAATGCAACCACTATAAAAACGCAGAAGTTATTAGAATATTGAACGTATAGAAAAAATACTTTCTATAAGCTCTGCTAGTGATTTGCACTAATCACAGATAGACCTCTAACGCGACTAAGATAACTCAGTCCTGACAAACTTTGAAAATTCGTAACAGTCTAAAGAATTACTTGTATTCTAGAGATTTCAGGCGGTTAAGGTGTTCTTACAGTCATGTAATTTCTTCCTTTTGGTATCATTATGTCTAAACGCGTGTGAGTATCATTATGTCAAAACGCGTGCGTGTATCATTATGTCTAAACGCGTGCGTGTATCATTATGTCTAAACGCGTGCGTGTATCATTATGTCTAAACGCGTGCGTGTATCATTATGTCTAAACGCGTGCGTGTATCGTTATGTCTAAATGCGTGCGTGTATCATTATGTCTAAACGCGTGCGTTTATCATTATGTCTAAACGCATGCGTGTATCATTATGTCTAGATGCGTGCGTGTATCATTATGTCTAAACGCGTGCGTGTATCATTATGTCTAAACGCGTGTGTGTATCATTATGTCTAAACGCGTGCGTGTAAATTTTTTTGTCGCCATCGGGAAAGGATTCAAAACGTTAAAATTTTTCCTAAGATTCGTTAGGAACAAATCTTTTATTTTAAAGTTGACAAAATTTATTCCTGATGGAAATATAAATTAGGAATAAGAGATTGGTAATAACGGAAGACCCAGTTTTGATACGTTTCTTATGGTCGAACATTCGAGGAGTTACTAATTTTGTCTAACGTTGTCTTTTCGTCGTTACTGTTTTACATTTCATAATCTAAAAACTGATTCTGCTAATTGTAAAAAGTCATCAATTCATTGTTTACTTCTACCTTTCTTGTTTAATAATTTCCTTCTACAAATTTTCTCTCTTCCTCTTTTCCAACTTACTTTTCCGTCTGACTTTTATGTTAATCAATATTCCAACTTACTTTTAAGTTAATCAATATTCCAACTTACTTTTCCGTCTGACTTTTATGTTAATCAATATTCCAACTCCCTTTCATGTTAATCAATATTCCAACTTACTTTTCCGTCTTACTTTTATGTTAATCAATATTCCAACTTACTTTCCATCTTACTTTTATGTTAATCAATATTACAACTTACTTTCCATCTTACTTTCATGTTAATCAATGTTCCAACTTACTTTCCATCTTACTTTTATGTTAATCAATATTACAACTTACTTTCCATCTTACTTTCATGTTAATCAATGTTCCAACTTACTTTCCATCTTACTTTTATGTTAATCAATATTACAACTTACTTTCCATCTTACTTTCATGTTAATCAATGTTCCAACTTACTTTCCATCTTACTTTTATGTTAATCAATATTACAACTTACTTTCCATCTTACTTTCATGTTAATCAATGTTCCAACTTACTTTCCATCTTACTTTTATGTTAATCAATATTACAACTTACTTTCC